ACACACTGATCAATACATAGTTAAACACAAGTCACCTGCAATACCTGCCAAAGGATTTGTCACCCTCTGTAAATTATTTTCAGACCACATAGTAAGGTAGGTGACCTCACTTTTCTCTCCAGCAGTTAAGAGATATAGAGGTCGATTTACTAAAGGCAAATATACTGTGCACTTTGCAAGTGCCGTTGTTCTAGAGCTTAGTAAATGAATCAAAGCTCTGCTGACTTACATCATTCAGTCATGTGCAAGCAAAATTCATTTTTTTTTTTTTTTTTCTTCCGTGTGATTGGGTATTCTTTGTAAAATGAAGCGTTAGCTCATTTACTAAGCTCTGGAGCAACTGCACTTGCAAAGTTGCTTTTAGTAAATCAACCCCCATAGCTTGATCACTAACCCACCCCCTATCCTGCTGATGATTTATAGAAGGAGCAGTGAAACTAATGAAGTCATCACTCTTTTCCCAGTGTTAGATTGACAGCACTTTAAAATGGTATTGAACCTAACTGATCTTCCCTCCCCCAGTCTGAGTCTTGCTGTGTAGGGCAGTTCAGGAAGATAATATTTCTGATCCTGCTACCTGTTTTTTAAAGGCTAACTTCCCCCTTTGTACCATGTTTCATCCATATTTAGGTGTAAATAGGTGCAAATGGGTCCATAACAGTGTTTGGGAGCTCTTCCCCACCACAGCAGACAGACGTGTAATTCTTGATAGAACATGATTGCGATAATCACTGCACTTGTAGTCTATTGGCATTTCCTCCAACTCTGTAAGGTCCCTTTCACATGAGCGTTTCGTTTTTTTCATCAGTTCAATCAAATTTTTTTTACAGGAAAAAAAAACATCAGTTCACATCGGTTTTTACATAGTTACATGGTTAGTCTGGCTGAAAAAAAGACAAAAGTCCATCCAGTTCAACCATATAAAAAAAAAAAAAGTTATAATCCTACACCCACAGTTGATCCAGAGGAAGGCAAAAAACCCAGCAAAGCATGATCCAATTTGCTCCTACAGGGAAAAAAAATTCCTTCCTGATCCCCCGAGAGGCAATCGGATATTCCCTGGATCAACTTTACCTATAAATGTTAGTATCCAGTTATATTCTGTGTATCTAAGAAAGAATCCAGGACTTTTTTAAAGCAATCCACTGAGCTGGGCAGAACCAACTCTTGAGGGAGACTATTCCACATTTTCACAGCTCTCACTGTGAAGAAACCTTTCCGTGTTTGGGGATTAAATTGCTTTTCCTCCAGAAGTAAAGAGTGCCCCCTTGTCCTCTGTGATGACCTCAGGGTGAATAGCTCTACACCGAGTTCACTATATGGACCACTGATGTATTTATACATGTTGATCATATCCCCCCTTATGTATTATACATGTTGATCATATCCCCCCTTAATCTCCTCTTCTCAAGAGAGAATGCATTCAGTTCCTCTAATATTTCCTCATAGCTGGCATAGCCATGCCTCTTATCAGTTTGGTTGCCCTTCTCTGCACTTTCTCCAGTTCCCCAATGTTCTTTTTGTGAATTGGTGCCCAAAACTGAACTGTATATTCCAGATGAGGTATTACTAATGATTTGTACCGGAGGAATGATATCTCTCTCTCTCTCTCTCTCTGGAGTCCTCTTTTAATACAAGAGAGGATTTTGCTCGCTTTAGAAACTGCAGCTTGGCATTGCATGCCATTATTTAGCTTGTGATCTACCAGAACTCCCAGATCCTTCTCCACCATTGATTCCCCCAGTTGTACCCCCCCTAGTATGTATGATGCATGCATATTCTTTGTCCCCAAGTGCATAACCTTACATTTATCAACATGAAACCTCATGTTGATAAATGCCACATAGTTGCCCAATTAAACAGTTCTTGATTAGTTATTCATCAGTTTACATCAGTTTTTCATTAGTTCAAATCATTTTTTCATCAGTTTTTCATCAGTTTACATCCGTTTTTGTCCATTTTTCATCCGTTTTTGATCCGTTTTCGTCTGTTTAAATCAGTTTTTCATCTGTTTACATCTATTTTTGTCCATTTACATCAGTTTTCCGTCTATTTTCATCCGTTTTTGTCCGTTTATATCTGTTTTTCATCCATTCTGGGTTGTTTTTTTTAACGGAAGAAAAATAGGGTTTTCTTCCATTCAAAAAAATTAATGTTAACAAATGCGGAAATTAACAGATATAAACAGATGATCATCAGTTTACATCCGCTAGTCCATAGAAATACATGGGTGTCCATTTTCCAACCGTAAACGGACAGATGAAAAACGGACATAGAGAACGCCCGTGTGAAAGGGGCGTAACTGAAAGTCTGTTTATCAGTACAGACATGGGGAAAGAGTCTACAGGAGCATGGCATAGCACCTGCGATGGAAAAAAAAAAAATATAATAATAATAACAAATAAATGAATGCAAATTTTTTTTCCCTGCCAATATATATGCATATATTATTTTTTTGCAAAGGGTGGACTTAGCCTTTAAAAAGAATTAGTTTTAACAAATGCATAAGTGAATTTATTGGTAATATTTAATTTTTTTGTCTGTAGTCCTGCTGTAACAGGAAAAAACTATTTCTGCATCTTTTCAATTTGTTCCACAACATATCTATCATGATCTCACTTCACATATTACATGCTTGCTTTAAAACCTATGATCTGCAGATAGTTTTCCTTCACAATACTTCAGCTATTCCGACTGCTTCAGGAGGTAAAGTATACCCTTTACTCTGACTTTGTCATCTACATTCCTAACTAGTAGTTGTTAAAAGTAATAGGAGACAAAACGCCTTTGTATTTCTTCACTGCTCCCTGAAGTCGACTTATAGAGACAATCTGGTTGCTAGGAGATTTCTCTCCAGAATAAGTGCAAGCTCCACGGGGCTTGGAAAATCCGTCACTCTTTACAAAACCATACCACAAGGGAAAAAGAAAAAAGTTTGGAAATTTGACTTCACAAATACGAAGCACATTCTGTTTTTCTCTTAGAATGTGACAAAAATAACTTCAGAACTCAAGTGGAGTAAAACAAAACAGCATAACAATATCATTTAAAGTTTTCTTAGAACATTTTAAGTCTTCTGCTTATAATGAAGCAAGTCAAGTGAGATGCACAGCATTTTGATTTGTTTTTCCTATTTATAGAATTCTCACTCTTTATCTGCTGTACTTTTACAGAGAACAGTGAATCATTCTAATGTGCTCCTACCCTTGTAGGACCTTACAGTCTAAAGCTGTATTTTTCGACTACGTACACCTTAGAGGAAAATGATTTTTCCTATTCTCAGCTGAATATCCAGTGTCTCCAAGTGCCTAAGTGCCACGACTGATCTTCTGTAGTGCCACTCAAAACTATGTTTCTTGTTCAGTGGCTTTTTATTACAGTTTCCAGTACTAAAGGAGTAACATGGACAAGTACATGTTACATAGTTACATAGTTAGTCTGGTCGAAAAAAGACAAAAGTCCATCCAGTTCAACCACTAAAAAAAAAAAGTTATAATCCTATACCCACAGTTGATCCAGAGGAAGGCAAAAAACCCAGCAAAGCATGATCCAATTTGCTCCTGCAGGGGAAAACAATTCCTCCCTGATCCCCCGAGAGGCAATTGGATATTCCCTGGATCAACTTTACCTATAAATGTTAGTATCCAGTTATAGTCTGTGTATCTAGGAAAGAATACAGGCATTTTTTTTAAAGCAATCCACTGAGCTGGCCAGAACCAACTCTTGAGGGAGTCTATTCCACATTTTCACAGCTCAACAATGAGTTCAACAGTGCAGTTTAGAGTTGACAGTGAGCTCTAGCTGTTGGACCATTGCTGCCTCTTGCTGCTGCCTGATGTCCCTTCGCTCTATGGTCACGGTGCTTTCTTCCTCAATTTTTGAAGAGAGAAATGGTTGGCCATGACCAAACTTATCCTCCTGCAGCAAGTAATTTATTGTGTGATCAAATAATTCCGCTCTTTGTATGGTTATGGTGGGATTAGCACAGCGGTTCTCAACCTGGGGGTCGCGACCCCTTTGGGGGTCGAACGACGCTTCCACAGGGGTCGCCTAAGACCATCGGAAAACACATATTTCCGATGGTCTTAGGAACCGAGACACCGCTCCTCGCCGCCGCCGCCGCCACCGCCGTCTCCAGGTGTGGGCGGGATGACATGCCGCCCCTGTCATCTGGACACACCTCGAGATCAATCCTCGCCTGTGATTGGCCGCCGGCACTGTAGCTCAGGCACACAGGCGGCCAATCACCGGCAAGGAGGTGGAGCTTGGAGAGGAGGAGCCGAGCCGCACCGCGAAGATCGAGCGAGTGAAGAGGAGGAGAGCGGCCGGAGAAGGAAGACAGCTGACAGGTAAGTGTCGGTACCATGGGAGAGGGAGGGAGCGAGCGAGCCCAGGCTGGAGCAGGGGTCTGCAAGGTAAGTATCACTGGTGTCAGTGGGAATAGTGCCCCATCATTGGTGTCACTAATACCAATGATGGGGCACTATTCCTCCCACTGACACCAATGATGGGGCACTATTCCTCCCACTGACACCAATGATGGGGCACTATTCCTCCCACTGACACCAATGATGGGGCACTATTCCTCCCCCCACTGACACCAACAATGAGGCACGATTCCTCCCCCAAATGACACCAACGATGGGGCACTATTCCTCCCCCCACTGACACCAACAATGAGGCACTATTCCTCCCCCACTGACACCAAGGATGGGGCACGATTCCTCCCCCCACTGACACCAACGATGGGGCACAATTCCTCCCCCCACTGACACCAACGATGGGGCACAATTCCTCCCCCCACTGACACCAACGATGGGGCACAATTCCTCCCCCCACTGACACCAAGGATGGAGCACAATTCCTCCCCCCACTGACACCAAGGATGGGGCACTATTCCTCCCCCCACTGACACCAAGGATGGGGCACTATTCCTCCCCCCACTGACACCAATGATGGGGCACTTTTCCTCCCCCCACTGACACCAATGATGGGGCACTATTCCCCCCACTGACACCTATGATGGGGCACTTTTCCTCCCCCCACTGACACCAAGGATGGGGCACTATTCCTCCCCCCACTGACACCAAGGATGGGGCACTATTCCTCCCCCCACTGATACCAATGATGGGGCACTCTTCCCCCCACTGACACCAATGATGGGGCACTATTCCCCCCACTGACACCTATGATGGGGCACTATTCCTCCTCCCACTGACACCTATGATGGGGCACTATTCCTCCCACTGATACCGATGATGAGGCACTATTCCTCCCACTGACACCAATGATGGGGCACTATTCCTCCCACTGACACCAATGATGGGGCACTATTCCTCCCACTGACACCAATGATGGGGCACTATTCCTCCCACTGATACCAATGATGGGGCACTATTCCTCCCACTGACACCAATGATGGGGCACTATTCCTCCCACTGACACCAATGATGGGGCACTATTCCTCCCACTGACACCAATGATGGGACACTATTCCTCCCACTGACACCAATGATGGGACACTATTCCTCCCACTGACACCAATGATGGGGCACTATTCCTCCCACTGATACCAATGATGGGGCACTATTCCTCCCACTGACACCAATGACGTGGCACTATTCCTCCTACTGCAAAATTACAGTTATGAAGTAGCAACGAAAATAATTTTATGGTTGGGGGTCACCACAACATGAGGAACTGTATTAAGGGGTCGCGGCGTTAGAAAGGTTGAGAACCACTGGATTAGCAGAAGAGGAGAAGGAGGAGGAAGAAGAGGGTGCATTAGTAGCAGTTGCAGACAAAGAACCTCTCCGCACCTGGGAGGAGGAAGAACAAGAAGGCTTTGTCAGCCACTCAAATACCTCCTGGAAGTGCTGTGATTGTAGAGCACAGGCACTCTGAGATAAAAAAGATAAACTTGCCCTGTTTCTAGATGGTTTGGCCTGACCATCACTTTGTCTTGAAGAACCAACTCACCCCCTACCACCTCAATGTGTAGAACATCTGCCTTGCAATTTAGGCCTGCCTGATATTTATAATAAAGAGGATTGCCTAAATTTAATGGAAACTATTGCATTAGGTGGCTATTTGGTGCTTTGGTGCTTTCTACTTTACCATATGGGTATGCAGTGTTGTGCTGCAAATAAAGGGCAGTTTTGCCTGTGTCATCCACAAGTGTATTCTGCAAAGGCCACAATGAAAATAGTTCCTTGCAAAATTCAAAGAGAAATATAGGATTTGTTTTTTTTTTTTCAAAATCATACTTACCTAGGTGCAATGCTGCATCTGTCCTTCACCAGCTCTAAGTATGAGAACTCAGCGATCACATGACAGTGATCACGCCGCTGTGAGCAGAAAGCGTTGACTGTCAGTCACCACTGTCTGCTCTCTACCCCACTCACTGGAGCGCTGGGCTGTGGAGAGGGAGGGAGCGGCTGGCTCAGGCTCTCAGCAGCTCACTGAGAGGCTGAGCCTGGTGCCGCTCCAGACACTGGAGTGGGTCCCGGCTTTAAAGTCGGGATCTTTCCTCAGCCTGGACTGGCTGAGTGACAAACTGCACTCCTATGATATTTGGCTGTACTTCTCCTTTAACCCCCCCCCCCTCCAATAACAAACCCTATATAGCCTACAAAACAAAAATCCACAGTAATTTAGCACAGTATAGCATGGTATAGCATTGTATAGCAATTAACCCTTCCAACACATAGACCGTCTGCTCTCCCTAAATTACACACTGACAAATGGCTGCTGGGATCCCACCCTTTTATAATGAGGGGTCTAGTAGAAAAAAAAAAGCTCCAATTGTTGGTCCTTTGAAGCCAGCTAACCTAAGTTCATAAATTTGGTTCAGTGAATTAACTGGGACCAGGAATTTTTAACCCTCTGGATTTGCCATGAACCCATGCTTGCTGCAAACCTAAACGTCATCTCTATTGCTGAGGTGTTAGGTCTAATCTACCTATTTAACACACCTCTAAACCCACTAAAGAAAGAATACCACACACTTGGCATGGATTTTTAATGGCCACATCAGCGTTTTATTAATAAACCTATAAAAAAAATTACATGAAGTAGCTGCAAAAATCTGAATAATAATACAAACTTTAATAATAATACAAACATTACTAAAGCAAAGATCTATGTCTGCCTTCCAAAGTATTGGCCCCTAGTTGTACCACACCACCATTATTATTATACAGGACTTATATAGCGCTGACAGTTTGCTCAGCGCTTTACATTATGGAGGGAGACAGTACAGTAACAATACAGTTCAATACAAGAGGGATTAGAGGGCCCTGCTCCTTGGAGCTTACCACCATGGAGACATATTCTGACTGTAACCACAAAGAAAACAACAGAGTAGAAAGGAGTGCTGTATGTAATACAGATCCATGATGCCATCACAACTTCCCCTTAAAGACCCTGTCACCATACCAAGCTGCCATGATATAATCATTACCAAAGCTAGAACTTACAAATGTTATGGGGTGGGAGTGTTCCCCTAATGCCACCTAACCTCTGAACACCTATGTCCCCCCCCCCACAAACACTCACGATTAGACACTTTGGACCCCTCCCTTCCTGCAGCTGACCACCAATTAGGTAAGTGACAGAACCTCCCATTAGACCATGACAGCTTTTTTCTTAAACCCTTTCACTGCTTGGATCATCCCCTTGACCAGGGCTTATGCTTAAGTCTGCAGGTCTGTTCATGGCCTAACTGGAAGCTTAAGACTAGAACCCTTCAATAGAGGCAGTCGATATGCTCAATCTAGAATGCTTCTCTTTGCCATGGACTGGACCTCACTAGGCCTTAGATTTGTCACCACTCCGCTAGTGCTTCTCTAGGTGACCCCCTTCAGAAGATTACCACTCTAGTCATTTCTAGGCCAAATTTCCACTCATCTTTTGGCTTTATTATAGAGCTAGACAGTATGTTCTCTTCTTGGTCTCTGTATAGACTCAGTAATAAATTATTTCTCATGATGCAATAGCCATAATTGGGGCCCACACACTGGATTTTGCAATAACAGTAAAGAAATTTTTCCTTTAAACTTCAAAATTCAAGCACTTTCCATGCAACACCGAGTCACTCTCCTTCTGACTACTCATTCTGTATGGAGGATCATAAATGCTTCTTCCTCATTTTGACTGAATCGTGGGGAAACATTAGTAAGCCTCCAGAGGGGCAAAGCTAATTATGCAATTCTCCCTAGAATGGGGGCCACCATGCAGCATCTAAATGGCAACAATTCATATGCAGCCTCTTTTGAGAAGTCAAAAGGACATACATTGATTCGATGGGCCTTTTTTCCAAACTGCTTGGCCTCTACTCACTGCCTATCAATAATCTGTCAGCAAGTCCTTGCCACTCCCAGAAGTTGCTCACTCTTTTCTGAGGAAAACCCACTTGTCAAAGAGAGGACATGTCATTTAAAATAACTTCTTAAAGAAGATTAACATCATCCCCTTTAAAAACTCCTAATATACTCCTGCAGTAAACATTAGGACATCCTCGTGCAATGCAAAAGCTAGATAATGTGCACCTGCTTGTAGTGCCCTTTAGGAGTCCTAGAGCGTTAAATTTAGTTGGCTCACAGTAGTGAAGTGAGCATGTCTGTTTGGGTTACTTAGGTCAGGTTCAGGTTCAAGGGCTTTGCAGGTCAGTTCTCCAGCACCTCTGCCTGGTTCTGGAATCTTCCAGAAGATTCTAGCAGCTAGTAGGCGAAGGGGTGGAGACCAAAATCTGCATACTCATGGGAGTCTTACCAATCCCAGACAGGAGGCCTGGCAGTGTGGTGAGATGAACCCATAAATATGAGAGGGCCAAGCCAGCAGGGGGAGTCTGGTGATCGGATGGAATATGGAGTGTTGAGGATTGTGTGGCCTTGGAGGGGACCCCGGGGAAGGGGGGTTCTGCCTCCAGGCTGGAGCTGAGGAGGAGGAAGGAAGGAGAGGAAGTTTAGACAGAGGGAACTGCACCACAAGTCTTATGCAGAGGGTGGTACCCTGCTCAGCATGGAAGACTAGCACAAATAAAAGGCCTAATTAACCAGTCTTATGCCAATCCATAGGATACAAAGGACAAAGTGATGACCCCTACACAACCTCCTAAAAGTACCTCTGAAAGGGAGAAGGCTGCCAGACGCAATATCCAGCATGCTTTCATGGGGACAGTGTCAGAGCTAACCTAATCCCTTGCTCTGGGACTTTTGCAAAGCAGCCAAATGGGATGGCATTTCCTCACCAACTATTGGTACTTTGTGAGAGTTCACCCAAGGGGACCTGAAGCTCCTTAAATTATATTGATATTGAAGTCACTTTGCTACTGATCATTTTAGGGACTGATACCACTCTGGCTGGAGTAATATTCAGGATCCACCCTTTTTGTACATACTCAGGAAGTTTGTCTTCTGTCCATTCTTTCTAGTAAAGTTGGGCATCCCATAACCCCTAATCCCTATCCAAGTTGTTTTCCCCTATATAAAACAACAAAATTCCTGACTTTGTGTGTTTCCTGAAAATACGAGTTTCCTGGCTGTTCAGGAAATTGGGGGACCCAAAACTCAGCGACTCCTTGAGGGGTTGCGCTACATGTTGAGCAAAGAACAATAAAACATTCGAATGACACATAATACAAACTAAAAAAAACAAGCAAACAACATATTTACATGACACAGGCCAGGATCTTTCAGATATTTTCACCATGTTCATTGATACAACACTATGGCAACACAGCTGGAGGCATGAAAGTGGTCCTAACAGCATTTTTTAAGAAGCACATGGAAGCAGTGCAATGCTAACAATGTTTACATATGGTGCAAAACAAATGTGGCCATTACGTTGCCTGTGGCCAGTGACATTGATTGGTCATTGTTTGACAGCAGCATAAGTACAGAAGTGTTGTCTGAAAGAATATTTTTACTTTCACACAAGCAACAAATTCCTAAAAGGAGAATGCACATTCTAACCCCTGCAGTTTAAAACTTGCTACCCTGTAACACCTGAAGCAATTTACATGACATAGGTGCCTATATTTGGATGGTGCTTGTCAGTTTCATAATCTCAGGTATGCTGACAAAAAAAAGAAGAGTGGGTGTGGTTTTCACATGTGTCAAAATGTATCTAAATCACTTTTTTATTTAACAGGTAAAGGTTTATTGATTAATGCACAAGTTGGGTA